TTGAAATTTCAAAACTTGTCATCTTCACGTTTTAGTACTTTGTCTATTTCTGTTTATAGGAAAGATAGCTACCAGTGCTTCACTCCCCTGTCCAATAAGCGATCTTTTTGAAATTATGAGTTTGGTAACTCTGAGTTAATTGCTTTCTCTTATATTCTTATATGTTCCTCAGAAATTTCCTACTGGCTCATATTAGACCTACTCAGCTTGTCAAAATATTTGATCACTTAGAATATCAAAGTTCTCTACCTTTCAGTTAACAAAGAAAAGGTCTCTTTTGGCTGCTCTGAAGTGTTCTAAAGGAGCATCTTCCCATTTCCTTTATAAAAAATGCATTCACCTAGACAACACGCTTTGATTTCTCACTGGGCCAACTATTTGCTCCACATAGTTGATGGTTTGAATATGACAAATGACCATTCTGTTAGGGTGGCTCCTTCAATCCCCTGTGAATTAGAATTTAAAGATCCATTTTCCTCTGGTGGAATACTTATTTCTGTAGTAAACTATGGTTGAGAATAAGCAGTTGCCACTAGAGAAAACAATGAAGGATGTTTACTTGTCATGGGAAGCAAAATCTGTGCATCCTTTACTCTTCTTTGAAATCTTAACGAAATATTAAGTCCAAAGAAGCAGTGGATAGAACTGAGGAAGCAAAAGGCATCACGTCTCCTTTTATTGCCTTAACGTCATGAATGTAAGAGACAAATGGACAGCTTAACTTTTCAGTAGGCAGTTCTGTTGAAAAATTTTATCTCCTGAACTATACCAAATGACAGATAGCATGAATGTGAAAATATAAAGTGCATATAAAGTTAGTATTGCATTGTTTTCCATTTCAGTTGCATGCAGGATGATAATTCTGTGCTTAGAAAAATAAGTGTACAAATGGTACACTACAAATAGAGTGCAAAATTAAACACATTCAAAATTGGATCCTCATTTTGTGCTAAGATTTGTAGAGAGACAATATTGCATACAGATGAAGCGCTCTGGGATTAAAGCCTAAGATGACTGCATCTTTGCCTGCAGAATTGTCATGCGGTGTCATGAGATTCAGTGCTAGGAAGGGGGAGTGCAAAGCTCACGTTCTGATTTTTCATTTATAGGTGAGTTTATGTAATGTGTTCTGCCCTCTCTCTCACGGACAGCTGATGGAAAATAAACCAGATTAACAGAAAATAAAAGTGTTACTTTATTTTGATTTGTTTGTCATGCCACTACTAGCTGACTTTACCTGTTCCTCGGTTCTTACAAAAATGAATTTAAAATCTTCAGATCGGTTCCCAGTTTAGGTCCTTAAATTTGAATACATTTCATAGCAGTTTTGCTACACCTGAAACATATGTCCAAGGAATCAGAAATTTCCTCTAAAATTCTGCTGTAGGAGTGATATTTGGCAGTGGGGCTTGATATTGGCAGCTGATGCTTTTGCTTAGAACTCAGAAGTGGTTCTGGACTGTGAAAGTAGGGGGAGCAAAACTTTAGCTTAGGTTAAACATTAGTTTAGATACCAAGAACAGTCTAGAGAAGTGTAGTAGTGAGAAGATACTGTTATGTCTTGACAAGTACTTTGAAAGTCCACCGCCTTCAAAGTGTCCGTGCACAGCAACCACGCTTTAAACAATGGTTCAGAATAATTTTTTCATAGTACCAAACAGAGGATTCTCTTCATGTCCTTGTGAGAACACTGAAACTGTTACCTAGAAGTCTTATGTTTTCCTCTGTTCTGAGTGCTTCCTCATGTTCCTAGTCTCCTGAATGGAGAAGAATGAAGGAGATAGTTACCCAAATCCCAAGAAAGAAGGAAAAAGTTCAAACCTGTAGAAGAACAGACTGATCAAGGATCCAGCAGAGTATGGCTGAGAATGGGGACTGGTGAAGAGCAGGGATAAGTTAATGATTTGAGAAAAGGGTATCTCTTTACTTAAAGAAGCAATTATTTGAAATATGCTGCAGTTTCTTTGCACACAGGAAATATCCAAGTTAAAATTGAGTTCATCTGAACAAATGTATTTTTACTGAGTATCTCTGTTAAAACATATTTGGAATTCACTTCTATAGTTCTACATTTTTTATATGTTTTACAAAAATAGTACTCATAAATAGATATATATGTTGTTCCGGATTTATGGGTCAAATAAGCAGGAGAATGCTGTTAGATGATACCATTCATATTTCTCATATGAGACACTGATGAGTTGTCTATGAAACAGTTTATAAGCTGTACTTAATACTATTATTTTTTATGTTTTAGGAGGTATACCGGGAGGAGCAACTTATTTACAGACTAATGAGACAATCTCAGCAGGAGCGTAGAATTGCTGTTCAACTCATGCATGTTCGACATGAAAAAGAGGTGTTAAGGCAAAACAGAATTTTCAGGGAAAAACAATATGAAGAAAGACGACTGAAAGAGTTCCAGGAAGCTCTTGATAGAGAAGCGGTAAAAGATTATTTGCTCCCTGAATTGCTGCAAGACTGTTACAGTACCTTCATGTTACAAAATTGAATTTGTATTGTCAGCTGTTAGAATTTAGGACTTTTCTAGGGACAAGGTGATTTAATGATGAATGTATTCTTTTACCTAGGCTCAAAGTTACAGCTAAGTTAATAAGGGATAAAGCTGAGCAATTTGAAGTCTAGTTTTGATCTTTTCTTCCAAACTAATTTTAACTTTGTAGGAAAACATCTCTGTATGCTGAGTTTAAAAGGCACAGTCTTGCAGAGGTAAAATGACAAAAGACAACGACATGAGATCTTGTTTCAAAAATCATGTTTTTCATTTCCTTTAGAGATAATCTGTTAACATCCATTTTTGACAAATGCTGGAGGAGTTTCACTAATGAGTGCTAATTTCTACCCAGGAGCCTGGAGTTGATTAATAAATTAAAAGGATTCATAATCCTGTGGCAAAGTGCCAAGTTTTACACTCATAGTAGGCCATAATGTTATTTTGCTCCTGCAAAAAAATTATTAGCAGCTCCAAATCCTCCAACACAGTTGGAATCCTATGTAATCAGTAGCTATAGCTATTGATTACAACATCTCTTTAAGTATGCTTTTGGCCAAAGGAGCATACCATCACAGGAAATATTGATAGTTTTCTATCATGACCAGAAATCTTTCTCAAAGATTGAGCAGCATAAATAATATAAAATATTTGCAGATCAGAATCCTGGAAGTTAAATTAGTTGTCACATTCTAAATGAGTATTCCATTGTGGGTTTCAGTGGAACTCAGGCTTTACCAATGCATCTGCAAAGTTGTTCCTTACGAAGAGTAGACAGCATCGTTTCATGTTTCTTTGCCCACTAAGCGCTGAATATGTTCTTTATCTGTCATGAAAGAAGTAATATATTTCTCCTTTATTTCATTATGTTTTAGCAGTTAGAAAGCAAACACACTGGAGTTAACAGAATTAATAAACATTTTTAGATTTCTCTATGTGTTAATCTGCTTGCTGGCTATCCAACTCTGGTGAGAATCTAGCTGTTTTCATTTGACTTAAATGAGCAAGTTCATTTTCATTTCCAGGACTGTGCACTTCTGCACTTTCATTTTCTTTTCAATCTCAAATTTACTCTTTAAAAAAAATTCTAGGCTCTTGCAAAACAAGAAAAAATTCATTATGAAGAACAAATTATCAAAGAAAGAGAACGTCATGAGAAAATTGCTGTTGAAAGAGCTCAGACACGCTATAAAAAGCATTATTCTATTTGTTGGGAAGTGATCAACCAAATAATTGATTTGTCAACGAAAGTAGGAGAATATCGTCTACTGACAAACAAGTGAGTGTGGTGGCTGTTAGGCAGAAGTAACAGCTGTTGTGTCACTGTTAGGCTTCATTATTCAGACTGATTTAAGCACCATAACATCTTATGTAGATTCTCAGATATCTTACAGGACAGCTCCAATTTGTGTGGGAAAATGGTGATACTGCTTTCATGTGAGGATTCACTGTTGTGTAATACAGGGTGAACTAATGCTCAAGCCTTAGCATAATTTCTTGAAAACTCAACTAACTTGAATCTTTAGAAGACGGAGATCCACTATTTGTACAGGTTGTGGAACTACTGATTTCTTTCTTTATGAAGAAGTTCCTTAATTTAAAAGTTAAAAACTGAGTGGTGTTCATCTCATTCTAGATTGCTCCATTAGCTGAACACTTCCTCAGTGTGATACAAACAGAATGAATTTCCTAAGATACGTCAACCTGCCTGGACTGTCCTAAGAGTAGCAATGCAGTCCAAAATTTTCTGAGTCCTACATGCTGTTATTGCCTCTTCTAACATGCCCTAATTGCACAGGGTTTGTCAGAAGGTTCTAAAAAGGCAGTAACCTCCAAGTGCCTGTGCTGTAGGAGTGTTTCCAAAACCACAGAGTAAGGTGTTGTTGCTCTTGTTCTTTCATTAGTATTCCATCATTAGACTACAGGGTAAGGCTTACGGCATTAGAAAGTATGCCAAAATCTTCATTGCCTTTAGTGTAATTGTATGTTAAAATGATAAAGCTGTAACCCTATGAAATACATATGATTATATTTTATGGAAATTATATATATTTAGGCCCAGTAAGTACGTGATAAAGTAGTCAGCCTAGACACAGTTTAGCGATGATTTAATTCTTGTCTGACACAGTCGTGGTTCCAGTGTAGAGCTAGTGTCACATTTTCTTGTACTGAGTGGTGCGTCGTGTGTAGCCCAGCTACCATCTAAGCTCCCACGCTGCCACTCACTTGCTCCTCCTCCTCAGTGAGATGGGGAGGAGAAAATCAGAAGAAAAAGGGTAAAACTCGTGGTTTGGGATAAAGATAGATAAGGACAGAGAGGGGGCAATAACCACAGTAATACTAATAGAAGAACTCTATCCCAGCCAAACCCAGGACAGTGCATGATCTGTACAGATATTTGAAATATCTTTCCAAAGCATGCATATCAAGGCTGTATCTGCATTACTGCCATGATAGGTATGCTTTGTCTGTCCTTCCATGCACTTCATTGTGCAGGATGCATACAACAGGTGTTCAATTATTTTTGAACAGCACATGCAGAGTTTATTAAAAGGTATAACACTCAACTATCTACAATCATTGCTAAAAAAAAGAAAGTCCAAGTTGATGTAGTCTTAAGAAGTAGTAGAAACTTTCATTTTGACCATTTGTTAAATTTAGGTTGTTATTTATGTCGTTTGCTTAGCAGCCATAGAACTCTTGCTACTGAATGCAATTTCTCTTGTTTCATGTGAGTATTTTTCCTTTCGGAAAGAAAAAAAAAAGAGTTCAGTTACTCATATAGTTCTACATTAATTTTAGCTTCCCAGAAAAATTTCTACAGAATTTTGATGAGAGGAGGCTCAATCCCACAAAAGGGAAGAATATTATAGTGCAGGAAAAAATAGCTATAGCAAAACTGTTACTACATAGCTCTTCCAGACAGATGCTGTATGATGACACATTTGTGAAAATACTGAAGCCTACAAGAGCCTATGTCATATAAGTAACCAAGCACTTATAAAAAGCTGTAATAATTATAGAAAGCCTTATAAACTACATCTAGTTTAGCATATCCTTGTTTCATGATTGTTATTCTTGTAAATTTGGGTCCACTATTATCAAATATCTAACCCCTTTAATTTTGTTTTTGAACTCATTCTTCTTTCTTTTTATTTCTGCAGACGAATTCCGTTAAAACTGATGCTTGATTGGAAGGAATATTTTTTTAATGGAAAACCAATATATGAACAAGCCGCAGTTCAACCTTTGCCAAAGGAACCAAGCCCAGAACAACTTGTGGAGCTGAATAAAATTAATCTATTAGATGAGAAAGATTATGGTGAATACAAGGTACATCAAACTGATAAGACATAATGGAAGATAATACACCTTGGTTTTTCATAATCAAAAACATTTTGTTGTGATGTTTCATTTTGTTCTTTTACTAGTTTCTGATATCAGATTTTGACATGTATTTTCTTTTCATTGCCTGAGATTTGATGTGAAATACCTGACTATGTTTTGTATTATTAGCACTGGAGAACTGCTGCAATTTTAAAACACTGTTATAGTTTCATTCTTGCATATAACATTGATTATATTTCTCTCTTAAGTACATAGGACCAACATATTAATTACAGTGCAATTAATTCTTGCCTAATTGGAATGCAAAAGTGTGGTTAACACTACCACATTTGAAAATGCAACAGAAAGTAGCCAGCAAAAGCAAGTAAAATGAAATAGTATATCTGTTACAAAACATGATAGTCTTAGTTTTGGCAATTTTGAGTGAAAAGTTTCTAACAAGGTTTATTAGTTTGAGTCATCCATTTATTTTAAGATGGTAATGTTTGTGAAAATCATTAAAAAAGCCAACATTGTTGTTAACCTTCTGTTAGAATACAAATAATTATTTTCCAGGGGGCCTTAAAACTTTTCGTCAACTTTACAATACGTTAATGTAATTTCACAAGTGAAAGTTGAAGAATGAATATTTCCCTGTTAAAATGTATTGTACAGTTTTATCCAAATTACAATAATGATGCTTCTTTGGAAAAAAACCCATCCTACTACGTATTTAGTCGTTTCAAATAATCTGTTTAACTAGAATATGGCAAAATCATGGCAAATAACCTGTATTTGACCAGTTGGGAAATTATAATTTCAATATATATGTGCTTTTATCCACATCCTGAACCAATTGGTACATTTACTTTTACAGGGAGTATAAATGTTTGTTACGAGTGTCTACGATGAATGCCTGACAGCTCAATTTACTTTGATTTCAATTTCAGCGTATGTTTTTCTGATTGATTTATTTATACGGTCCTTGTTCAGACCATATCAACTCATGCATTGAATTTCATCATCACTTTCTTTAGGTGAAAAAAGGCATATATACAAGATCAACAGTGAGGACATACAGGACAGACAGGCAGGAAACAGTTAAAGGGGAGCACATTTAAATCCTCTTTTTCACTACCAGTCTGTTTCAAATGCACATTCATAAAATGATTTTTTTTCGAAATGTTGTTAGTCTTTTGCCTTTCTGAATCAGTATTCGTCAAAAGGTGGTATCATATGACATGTAAAATTGTTGCCACCAATTTATACTTAAGTCTTCTAAAGACCTAAGTGAACAGCTAATACATTCAAAGTATTGCTTCTTGATAAAAGTGTGTTGGCAGGGCACTCTGGAAAAGTTTACAATGAATTCCTTAACCCTTAAGAAAAAAAACCCAACACAGGCTATTTCGCATCTCTCAAGAATATGAAGTTTACATTAGGAATACTGCCTAAAATTGTCAAATATATTTGGTAACAAAATACAGTGGTATCAGTCTGTTGCACATTCCACATTAGATTGAGCTTGAAAATATTTGGAAACTACTGCATCATCAGCTTTGATTAATCACTTAATAAATTAATGGAATCACCCAAAACAAACATAACAGTTGGCACTGCTTAAAATATCGAATAATTTCCAGTTTTGATCGAGAGTGTTGACCAGGAGTTTTATAACTCTCACCTGGATACCTGAAAACTTATTTCTAACAGGTAAGCTACTTTAGCTCGACAGGTACAGTCTAGCAACCTTCTGGTTAAAAGGACAAGAAATCTGAATGGTAAGTACTTTGAATGTGGATTTTTGCTTGCTGAAACATTTGATTTTGCCTTTCAACCCTTTATTGTGCACGTCGAATGAGGTGACAAGCTAGAATCTGATCGGGAATATTATTAGTCCATATACCTTCTAAACAGCTGTTTAATAAACTGCAACCAAAAATAATTAAGACAGGCCTAGTATTATTCTGCATATATTCTAAATGAAAATATTACCTTTTAGCTTCTCCTAGCTTAAACTGCACATCAGGACTTTCCTAGTGTTATAAGATCCAATGCTGGTAGAGTACATCCTTCCATTCTGATCTTTCTTCCAATGTGATTGCCACTAAGACTTCTTTACTAGAAAAACCTCATTAAGGTATATGCTGGTAACTTATACCGCTGACAAATTTAAATTGGTCTGAGATGATGAACTGGAAGTTTCTACTTAGTATTTCCTTCCATTAAAATTGTTTGAATTATATGGTGGTTTGTTTGGTTTGGGTTGTTGGGTTTGGTGTTTTTTTCTCTCTATTGAGTGTGCGGTAGGCAAATATGCATATTTGAAATCTTCGTCCGTAAAAATTTTCAGAGATTCATGTGCGATACTGGGTAATAATGTCGCCTGGTTTTAGAATGCTGAATATTAGGGTACTATACCTCTATTCTAAAAATCTGCTATTGATTCATTCTGTGGTATTGGTGAAATAATTTTTCATGTTTATGATATTAAAAAAAATTATTCTAGAAATCTGTGAAAATGGTCGCAGGAGTACTTGTCTCTCTCAAGTAGGTATTAGTGGATATCAATAAATGCTTAATGATTGTGACGTAATTATCGCTTTTAATAAGGGCCAATTCTGAAAAATATTATTTAATACTATTCAGATTTGATTATTGTATGTATTGTGTTTGTATATAAATACATATCTCTAGAAAGATGAAAGACAAGGAATATTGACAAATTATTTGGTAATTTGTCATTTATGCAGAGCATGACAGGGGAATGGTGCCCAACAGAAGAGAACAGTGAAAACAAACCTCCTCTTAATAATAACATCCTGGGTCATGTTCTTCGTAGACTGATGGAGATTTTCTATCCTCCAAAAACTGAATCTTCACCACCTGTGTATCCTCCATTTCCTATCAAGGGATGTATTTTGGGAAAACTTTTTAGTGGAAAAACTACCTGTGTAAAGTTTATTGAAAAAGGTAGAGTTTTGTTTGTCTGCTTTTTGTTGGTTTTGTTGTGTTGTTGTTTTTTTTCCTAAAATTCTTGAAAATATTTCTTTGCTTTAAAATCCCATTGTTACAATGAAAATTGTTTGGGCAAATCCTTGCATTACTAATCGTTGAATCTCAGATGCATCTGTATTTTGCAGGGGTTGGTTGCAAGTCATTCATTTCATTATGTTCCAAAATAAGATTAAAAACACTTAAACTTTAGAATATAGTATTAATATAGTATTCCGCATTGAGAATTTGAAAATGCTTTTGGCAAACTTCTCTGGGGAGGTTTTCTATAGAAGAGACTATCAAGATGGCTATGTGATTGTGCATACACACTGTGCAGTGGTTACAGAGAAGAAACAGTGGAAACAAGTTACATCAAAAGCCCGAACGAAATCATTAATTTAATTGCCAGTAATAGTCTCTCTGTATGTATGCTCAGCTCAAACTGTAAAGTTATCTAATTTCTTTATGTATTAGTTTGCAATATTCAGGTACTATCCATAGATACTCTGGTTCAGGAGGCCATCCAAGCTTTTCTTAAAAATGAAATGAAAAGTGGATACAATGTGATTCCGCCAGAAGCAGAGAGTTCTGGGGAACAAAATGAGGTAAGTACTTTTGTTAATTTTGATTTTGGTTGGAGGTTTCAATTAGATTAGGCCTTTTTTACATCAGTTGAAACTGTTTCTCCTTTATAGATAACAATAAATATTAAATATAAATGGATATCGCAATAAACATTAAATTTAACTAATATATAATGTATAAGGTAGGATCATACTCTTTTTAACAGTGAGTGTTGTGAACATTCTGAGCATATTAGTCTTACTCTGCACTCTTCTACAGCTCTCTGTACGTGCCCAGCTCGGCGCCGCATCACAGAAATTGTTGAAGAAAGGAAAAAGTATTCCTGATGAATTACTTATTGACATCCTATTGGAAGCCATTAAGTATGAAACTGTATAGCTTTTTCCCTCAGTTATTTAGAGCGTAATTATCCATCTTGTAGTCCAGATTCAGCCATTTCTCTCTATTAAAGTATTTTTTGAACACTGAAGTCTTCTGCTGGGAAAGTGGAGCTCATTAGTGAAGTTAGTTAATGCTCATTTTAATGCTAGCAGTAGAATCTTATGCAGACTCTATTGTGCACTGCTGAAGGTAAGCGAAAATATACACGACCATCACATAATCATTAGATGTAACTAATGTCTCTATTTTATTTATTAGCAGGAAGCTATTCAGCTCATGCTAATATTTTTTCTTTTAGATTTTGTGAGATGCATAATCCAAGCATTCATGCTTCAGCAGTTAGGTTATTTCATAGATTTCATAGATTTCTAGGTTGGAACCGACTAGAGAAGGAGCTCCCCTAGACCTGCTGTTTGTGAACAGAGAAGGTCTTGTGGGAGATGTGAAGGTTGGAGGACGCCTGGGGCTTAGTGACCACGAGATAATAGAATTCTCAATTCTAGGGGAAGTTAGGAGAGGGAACACTAAAACGGCCAAGCTGGACTTTGGGCGAGCTGACTTTGGGCTGTTTAGAAGTCTGGTTAACAAAGTCCAATGGGAGACAGCTCTCAAGGGTAAGAGGGCGCAGGAGGGATGGTTACTATTCAAAAAGGAAATTCTGGAGGCACAGGAGCGAGCTGTCCCTGTGTGCCGGAAGTCGAGCCGCCGGGGTAGAAAACCAGCTTGGATAACAAAGGAGATTTGGGAACATCTCAAAAGAAAAAGGGATGTCTACAAGTCTTGGAAGAATGGGCAGGCATCCAGGAATCAATACAGGGAGGAAGTTAGGGCATGTAGGGAGATAATCAGGGAGGCAGAAGCCCAATTGGAACTTAGACTAGCCTGCTC